CACAAGAATGGTGATGGTGACCAATCTTTGAAATAAAAGGCAACATGAAGGAGAAATTGAACTGTGATTTTATTTTCTGATCAGCACTAATAACCAGCATTTGTCAGCAACAGACAGGAGCAAACTGTAGCTCTTTTCTCATTGAAACCAGTGAATGTATACATAGGAATGCTGTTATAATTATATAGAAAAATGGAGATACAATGAAGCCAAACTTTGTAAGATTAAATTTAACTGGACGGATCCTTGCTTTAATAAATAGCTAATTGCAAATGATTTGTTATTTTTATAATAAAATGACAGTTTGTATTCCATTAGTCTTAAATTAAAATTATAATTAGATTCTGGATGTATGTGTTTCTAAGGTGTCAAAAGAATCCATTTGTGTAAATTGATAACTATATCTTTTTTTTTTTTTTTTTTTTACAGTACTGGGGATTGAACTCAGGACCTTATGCTTCCCAGGGAAGTGCTTATTCTACTGAGCTATGTCCTCCCTCAGCCCAGCATGTATATCTTTCTCACTGTGTTTTTAGAATTTTCTTGGGAAATGAAAACCTTTTCATGATCAAAATCAATTAGATACTTGATTCACAACAAACCAAACTCTATATGAGTTATAAAGATAAATTCACTTTTAATGAAATTTGAGGACACTAAATTTATACTTATTTTTCTATGAATGGTTGCATCATCATCTTTGGGTTTTCAAAGCCATCTTTCATTCACTTTTATGAACTTTTCTTCTTTGACTTCTTGCAGACTTCACAATGTAGATAATATGTCTAGCAATATCATTCATTGGTTGATGCCAGGGAGAGATATTTTTACATTCCTATCTTAGGATCTTATTCATATTACGGTAAGTCATGATCATAAGTTATTTAAATAATCTATTAAATGTTTATAGGACTGTAAAAATGCCCCAGGCAAACACTGCTCAGAAAAATCGAAATCAACATCAACCCCTCTTTCTGTGCCCATTGATTTGGTGTATCATAAATCAGAATGATTTTCTGGAGTTTTTCTTAGGAAGCCACTTAGAGAAATATTGCACAAAGTAAGAGTCATTGTTCCCATTGTTGCTTAGTAGTGTGGACCCCACAATACAGAGTTGAGGGGCAAGAAATGACTTAATTATTGTGCTGGGATTTGTACACAGGGAGCTTCAATGTTAAGGAAATTATATTTAAAAGGATACTGGTGCACATATCTCACAGATGAAGTAGAACTCTTGCAGTTAAGTGATTTTTTTTTCCCAATTCTGAAAGACACTTACAAAGTTGCTTTAGCTCTCGCAGTCCCAAGGGCAAGACAGAACTTAACTCTGCAGATCTGTAATGTGACGTGCAATTAATGCTCTATGAGCCGTTTGCCAGAAAAGAGTTCAATGGTCATCAGTTAAAACACTGTGATGATAATTTCAATTACTAGCTAATTTCTAGATTTGAGAATATACTTTATTTTTAAAGTATGATTACATTTCTGTCTGAGTTCTATGAGCTAAGAGCAAGCCTCTTTTTGGCACATGACTCTTCTACAGAGGAGGAACAATTAAGGTAGGGGACAGCTGAGCAGCAAAACATCATTTTTTTCCTAGAATGGTGTTTGGGAAAATGAGAACATTTTAAAGAGAGTTATCTTGGCAAATTAGTAATCAACTGTCTAAGTAATTTCTTAGAAGTTTTACTATTACATCAAGAAGGAACTGATGTAGTCACATTAAAAGAAAAAATCACTTTTCAAAGAATCCAACAAGAAGAAAGATAAAAGCCATGCTATTTCACTTCTTCAATTTTGTAGGTTGAAGAGACACTGGGCTGCCTGCAGAGCAACAAGAGGGCAGTGCAGGTGTTGAGGTGTGAAGATTAGGTCAAACTTCTGCATTCAGACCCAAATTCAGCAGATTTGAAAACTTCCCAGGGAGCAAAAAGGCAGAAATATATATTAGACTGTGTCTAATTTCTTTTCTTAAAAATACATTTTAGTACAGGGACTACCAGGTCTCACTACACAGAACCGACTCATAGTGATCTCCTGTTTTCAGCCTCCCAAGCACTGGGATTACAGGTGTGTCACCACACCCAGTTTCATTCATCATCTCAGCATGCCCCGGGGGCAGGGCCGGCATAGTACATGGGGGATTTAACCCCAGACCCTGCGCCTGCCTAAGCAGGCACTTTAGTCCGCTGAGCTATTTGGCCAGCCCTGTGTCTGCTTTCTTAATTGTTTGTGTGTTTTGATATTTTAGAGTAATGAATGGACTTACCTTAGAAAACAGACACATTTCATGAAAATAGGGATTGATTAATCCCTTTTGCAGAAGCTATACAGTAGCCTGGAGAATGCTAAGGCCTGACTGAATCCTTGATGGCTGTCATAAAAGTCAGTCCACTTGCGATGGGGAGATTTCTATTCCAATTGCCATCTCACCTGGTTGACTACAGTGAATGTTTAGGAATAAATTTAATAGCTGTGGTCATCTTTCCTCCTAACCTCGGAAATGGGCTTGAAGTCCCCGTTGTATGTAATGTCTTCACTCAGAAACTTTGGAAGGGAAAGGGTTCAGAGTGTTGAGAACAAAGAGCCAACTGTAGGCACCTTTTCTCTTCTTATGTTGACTTCTTTCCAAATGCCTCCAGATGTGCCCCGCAATTCGCTTTAGAACCAGCTAAGATGAGAAGCAGACACAGGGCTTGACAAACATCCTACTTCCAGATCAATCTTCACAGCTCTCTAAGTGAGGAGTGATCACTGTAAATCTTTTTCTACAGTTGATTTATATTGTAATTAAGGTTGAGAAGAAGCACATACAAGGCCAAAAGCGGAAAAGTAGCACACATTTTTCATGAAAGTTTTTTTTCCCATAAGTCAGTGCACCAGCAAGTATTAGAAAAAAAATGAGAAACTAGTCATGCTCACTGACATAATATGGAAGAATGCTAAATCATCTGGGTTTTCTCTTTAAATGTATATATTTCAATAGATTAAAAAAGCACCTGGGGAGATGATCTTGCAGCTTAAAAAACTACATTTCAGCTTTGATATTTTTATTCTTTTTCTAAAAAAGTCAAATTATCTCCCAAAGCCTATTGGTGCAAGTTTATTAAAAAGGTAGTGTAGGTATTAAAGCTTCACAGCGCATCCTTGCAAAGGAAAGTCGGAGGCGCAGAGACTTTTCCTGTGCATA